ATATATTTATTTGGAGAAAAATTATTAACTTATTCATTTAGGAATCTATATAAGGAACATCTACCTAGATAAAATCTTTCTTCTCTGACAAATTGAGTCAATAACCAATTGTGGTATCGATCATACTCTTAACATTGTCTATACATTTGATTCATCAAATAAACAATAAAACAAGTACTTGAAGACAAGCCTACTTATGTACAATATGCCTAACAAAATAATTGGAACATAGAGATGTTGAATAAAAGTGATGTGAATTAAATAACTTTATAGTTTGTACTTTACATTATGCTTAAGTTTTTCCTCTTTAGCTCACATATTTTATGTCATTTTTCTGTACAAACTGAAATGTTATATACAAATCATAGTATGTACTAAGAAAAAAATTATAAAAATCATTTTTCCTAGTTTGTTTTAGAAACCATATAAATATTATATATATAATCATCTAATTATCACATTATTATTTAGAAAGAATACATAAAAATAGGACTGGGGATGTAATTCAGTTGTAGAGCACTTGTCTAGCATATATGAGACCTTGGATTCAACATGCTTTACAGGAAAAAAAAGAGAAAGAGAGAAGAGAGAGAGTGAGAAAGGGAGAGAAAGAGAGATAAGGAAGAGAGGAAGAAAATGTAAAAATAATAATCATTCAGCTGCCCAAATTTACAACCTCTTCTAACATTCTGCAGTTATTTTCATAACTAATTTTCCATTAATTATATTATTTTCTTTAATTGGACACTTGCAAGAAAAATACTTATATTATAGAAACAGCCAATCTTTTTTTTTTTTGGTACCGGGGGTTGAACTCAGGACCTTGCACTTGCGAGGCAGGCACTAGAACCACTGAGCTAAATCCCTGGCCCAAAACAGTCAATCTTTTGAGTTCAGGCTACACTTGTGAGTAGCTGAGAGTCCATGTAGTTACATGTTCATGTGAGATAGGGTACATAAAATACAAATTTATTCTTTTCTGCTTTTTAATAAAAGACAATTTAGCCTTAAGTATAGAATATATAGATAAGTTACTTACATATCATTAACCCCCTAAAAAATCAAGTAAACTTTATCTGTGTAAGACAATAACAACAATGATGAAAACAATATGATGATGATAAAGTTTACTGACTCACATGGAATTCCTTCTCCAGATTTACTTTTTTAACTACATAATTTTAAACTTTATTCCTCATAAAGGTTCAGAGTAAATAGGGCTACTTACTTTTCAGGGTTTTCTACTTCTTCAGTAACAAAATTGAGGTAAAACCTAAAAATATATAAATGAATATTAAGCATTAATATATTTTAGCACTGCAATTCAAAGTCTTACATTTTAAATATTTACAATTGAATTCAAATTATGAAAACTTCATAAAAATACGAATTGTAAGATGAAAATAAACAATAATTGAAAACTCCCACAAATCATTTTCCTATTAAATCATATTTGTGGAGGGTTTATGATGTGTCAGGCGCTAAGTATATGAGTGGGGAAACCCATAGTCTCTCTGCACAAGGAGCTCAGAGTTCAGGGGGAACTGTTGGAGCAAGCACATGGGAAACCCAGAGTCGAGATAGCTTGGCCTGGTGAGGATCAATGGGGATTTCTAGAGGGGTCATCTCCCATCTTAAGCTTCCAAGAATAGATAACACTTAGCTCTGGTTGGGTGCTGTGAGTTCACCCAGGCTGACTACAGCACATAATCACAGAAGTAAGGGGGAGAGATGCACAGGATCAGAGAACCTGTGCGGCATTCTATCTTAGGAGCGAGGCACAGGAAGTAGCAAGAGAATTAAGCACAAGATGATCTTTGCCTCCTGTGAGTCCAAATTTTAGAAGTGGAGACAAGCGAATCAAAACTTAGAGTGCTATATTGACGGCAGCATTTCTCAGTTTAAGGAACAGTTGCTGGTTTCCCACAGAGAAACATAGTGTACCAGTAGGAAGCAATAATGGTATAAATAATAATGTACTTTTGAAATTTACTAAGAGAGTACATTTAAAATCTCCTACTGCAAAAAAATTTGAAGTAATGGATATGTTAGTTTGATTTCCTTCTTCTAGATTCATAAGTCATAGCATCACTTTGTACCCTGTAAATATATACAACTATAATTTGTCAGCCTATAACTTAAAAATGAAAAGATGATAAACCCTCAATTCACACTTGTTTCTTTTAGATCACTTTTTTTTAATGTGTATCCCAAATAGACTCATTGGTGGTTCAGTGGTAGAATTCCCACCAGCCAAATGACCTCAAATTAAGATTAGGAAGTTTCCATTTCTCAGTTTTATATATTTAGGCAGTTAATCTTAGGCATACTGTTAGTCATTACACTACAAATCAACATCTAAAGCACAGGAAATTTTAAATATTTCTCAAGTCCACAACATTTTAGGGAGGTTATGTGACAAGAAGTGTTCTGGTCACGGAATAGTTCACTTTTCAAGTTCCATAGGATTGCAAATATTATCCTAATGTCAGGGCCCTAGAGAAATCCAGATTTGTTTCCTTCAGTCAGTGCCTGAGTGTTTCCTTCCCAATCCCATACAGGAATCACTAGTGCTTTGCATCTCTAACTGTTTCCAAACTTACTGGGAAGGCTGGAGACCATTTAAATCTTCCACAGATCTTTCTTAAGTTTCTACAACATGTTTCTTAAGTTTCTACAATGTAAAGTGGAGGCAGATTCCATCCTCAAATAAGCATAAATAGAAAACTGAATCATGAAAATGGAGAAACTAAGGAATCATTATGGGAAGCACAAAATATATAAAGACAAAGAACTTGCTACTTCTGCATTTCATAGACTTAAGAAATTTTTACAAAGTAAAAAGGTCATATTTTAATATATTCTTCAGTTATTATTCATTAGAAAGTTTAAAGAAATAGCCTTTCCTATGGGTACAGTTCTTGTATACTACTGCACAAGTCTGTATATACAAATGCTCTACAATCTAATACAAAATGGCCCATCAGCCTGTAATATGCTTAAAAGCACCTCACAGCCGAAAAGTAAGATGAGAAAACCTATGTTGCTTCATCTTCATAAAAACCACACCTAAATTCGTAAACAGATACTTGATGTTCAAGATTAAGTTAGCTACAGTTTTAAGGGCTATCTTTTAAGTTGATACATTTGAAATATTGGAAGAATGGTAACAATAAAAGTGATATAAAAAGTTAAGTGGTAAGTTTTAAAATGACTCAAAAGTTAAGTTTCTAAAAGTAGAGGTTATAATGTTACAACAGGAAAGCAAGCAACAGTCAGTACTTGCATCTGAAATATGCTCTTTGAGAAAGTTGATGTGTTTCATATATGCGTCAAAAATCACACACATCAGGAAATGTGGCTAGGCTGCTCATTCAAAGACAGCCGGTTCTTTCTTCACAGTTGTTTTAGAAATTGGTCTTTTCTAATAATATCAAAGCAAAAAGGAAAATATTTATGAAAAAGAAACATAACTTCAAATATTTTCCATGGCACCAGAGAATAGTGGAACGGAAAGGGCTTGGGGCAGGGTAGGGGATAGGAAGGAGAAAGCTTCTTATTTTAGTCCAAACAGGCACATCCTGTGGGAAATACATCTTTATGCTCTCCTAGTCTCCACCACTGAGTCCCTAGCTTTCTCTTTGGTTTACACCTCCTCAAGATCCCTGGAGAATGTTCACAAAATGCATTGTTTCAGCTCTTCTGTGATTATGAATAAAAGGCAAAGCAATGCTAGCAGCGTATTCCAACACCCAACACATGAATTCTTCCTTTAAAAAGCTTATTCTTTAGATTAGATGTGACACAATGGTACAAAATAATCCCACCAGGTGCTCTAAAAAGGCTGAATCCACTGAGGATAAGAGTTAAAAGGAAAAAAAAGGATACTGAAAAACTATTTTCTATCACATGGTTTTGTTTAGGGTTTTTTTTTTAATCCCACCAAGCAATTTTTAGTTTTGGATCAGGATATGGGACTGAAATTGGACAAGATCCCCAGGACCGCCAGGGGACTGGCAGATGTATTTCTCTGAATGCAGACAGTGGCAATATATTACAGTTGTTCTGACCCAGCTCTGTGACCTGGCTGGGTTAATGATTTCTTTTCCCTTAATCATGTTTCTGTGAAGGAGTCATCATCATTCTGTAAGTGTTCTATGCTCCAGAGCCAAAAAGTTAATTCAGTTTCTCCAAGGTTAGGTGGAGACTTTTACTTATTCAACTTCGAGGACTTGGACTGCTCACAGAGCAGTGTCTCCAGGACAACAGTGGTGTTGCTCCTTTATGAGTGGCTAACAGGCTGGCCAGTCAGTCTGATGACAACAGCTGCTTTGCTTCCATCTTTCTCATTTGCAATGCTCCCACTTGCAGGTGTGTGCATGTGTGACATTGTAGTCCTGGCAGCAATGCAGGGAGCAATGACTCAACTACAGTCCTCCATTTATAACTGTACAGTCCAGTCTTGTAATTATATCCTGAAAGATGGAGCAGTCTGACAGGCAGGGGTCACATTTGGAAAGTGAACAAATGTCCCTGTGTTGGAGAATTCTCTTTGCTTCCACCTTGGACTATTTACATCCAGATTATAACTTTTTCTCTGGAACTTCAAACCAACAGACTCTTTTTCCTAAACCCAGGTGCCTTTTTCTAAGACTGATGGTCAGAAAGTAAAGATTCTTTCCACCTCTTCATAAAGCAGCATTCAGGTAGCTTAACAACCACCTGTAGAAACACAGTTATTTATCTGTCCCCTATGTAAACCACCTGTATCAGATCATATCTGTTATGGCTTGTGTCTAGATGTCCCCCAAAGCCGCATGCAGTCATAAAGTGGGGCTGAATCTACAGTGTGTGATGTTGGGATTAAGAGCGTGTGTTTACTAAACCACAAGAGTGACTGGTTTGGGACCATCCTAATTCTGGTAGTCTGGATGGGATAAAAGGGGCAGAAAGACGCTGTTAAGGTTCCTTGCTGCTTCTGCTTGCTGTCTTCTGCTGCCATGAACTGTTGCGCTCTCCCACCCTGCCTTGGAGCCAGCCAATTATGGATTGAAATCTCTACAAACTGTGAGCTAAATAAACCCTTGCCCCTTTAACCTTGGATGTCAAGTATTTTATCTCAGCAACAAGAAAAGTAACTCACACAACATCCCATTTAAAATCCTGGACTTATTTTCCAATATTATGATTTGAACCCTCAAGAATATAAGGAATTCCGTATTTCTGGCTTCTCAAACTGGGGAATAGAAGTGAAGATTATGTGGGTGAAAGTAGAAATAAAGCACTTGAACCCCTTCCACCCAGTAAACAGAGTAACATTTTGGGTTTAATACCAATAAAATTCAATATTAACAATATAATTAAAACTGAAAAGATTCTTTATACATGGAGAAATCTGTCAGCTCTCCAAAGCCTCAGAAGTGGAGAAAATTAGCCCTACATCAAGCAGGTGACCTGAATATTCACTGCTGGTTGCAGAAAGAATGAGGAGGGCGGAAATATTTTAAGATTCCATGGGAACAGACGCATGGTACTCACAGGCACAAGAAACTTCATTCAACAGAATTAATCAAGTCTCCCTTGTGAGGATCTTCTCATTCCGCATTCCTGATCGAGCACAGAGAGGCTCCCAGTGCCTGGCTGTAGCCGAAAGCTTTCTCTACCTCCCTGCTTTGCTCTGGCAGCTCTCAGTGACCCTCACGGTGGCTTGGCTATTGCCCCAGGGCGCTGAGCTGTGATCCAGGCTGAATACCCACAGAAGAGCTGGATTCTGCTTCTAAACCTGTGATCATACTCAGTTCTTTTCTCTGCCCAGCACCATATTGTGCTTTGGACAAAAATAAAAAGACTTCAAAAACAGTGAGTGATTGAAAACTAATGCTTACACACAATGGCTGTAAAAATATTTGGGGAATATACAAATATTTTATCCTGATCTCCTTAGATCTACAATCTTCTAACAACCTTCAGACATATTTTGCTTCAAAGCCATGCTAAGACGTTAAGTTGCTGTACCCTCTTAATTCTCTTCTAATGCAATAATTTCATAATTCAGTGAGATTAACAGGGTACCACTTTATTTATTTTTGAAATATATCTTTATAGTCCCTGCATTACCTGAAGGCGAGATCTTAAAAACTAAAGAAACAAAAGGAAATTAAATTTGTGTTAGAAAGACATTTATATAATGCTTGAGCTAGTATTTCCTAGTATTATTTTTTGACTCATAGAACATTCTCGCAGCTAAAGCCTTATCAATATCAGCTTTATAAAGATATTTTTAAAATTTCCACTGAAAGCTAACTTTGTCATAATGGTTTTGATGTATAAGTAATACTTTTGTACCTAATGGGCTTTCTTGAAACAGTTATCTTAACTAAATCTTAGTAGGTCAATACAATTTAGTTAGGAAAATCTCCATTCTTGTTCATGACTATTGTTATTCAAGCTGCTGAACAATGCAAGGCTTAGCTATAATATTCTAATGTCTTAACCAAAACAGTAGCTAACACAGATGAACATTCTTCACAGGAAATATATGGCATCACTATGTTGATCATCTTTGAGGCATATTTTAGTTTTCAAATGTCAGGGAAATTTTTAAAATGTTACATGTGGCCTGGTCCAGGTGGTTTTATTATCTTATTTCCTGCCTTTAGAGCACTATTTTAACCTGCTGCAAACACCTTATTTATTTCTGTATCTGAATTCTTTCTTTCTCACAGGAAGTAGGAAAAAAACCACTCATCACTATTTGTAAACATCCTTGGAGCTTTAGCTGAAAGACCTTTTTGACAAGCTAAGGACTAATTTCTAGGACCTTATGACATGATTTTGTCCTTACTGCTACATAATTTTGTGTATGTATGTATGCATTTATTTATTTATTTTTGTGATGCTGGGTATTGAACCCAGGGAGAACTAAGCTACATCCCCAGACCTTTTTTAAAATTTGAGACAGAGACTCATGTTGCCCAGGCTGGCCTGGAACTTGTGATCATGCTGACTCAGCCTCCCTCCTGTGTAGCTGGGATTGCAGGTATACACAACCATGCCCAGCTACTGATACATAATTAGAAGTGATTTGTACTGGCTCTTAAGACCCGGTATTTGTGTTTTGTTGTTGTTGTATTTGGGATTTTTGTTGTTGTTGTTGTTTTGGGGGGTGTATTTGTTTATTTTGTTTTTTGTTTTGAGATAAAACCTATGTAGTTTAGGCTGGCCTTGATCTCACTATGTAGCACAGACTGGCCTCGAACTCACAGCGATCCACCTGCCTCAGCCACCCAAGTTCTGGAATTACTGCACAGGCATGAGGCACCATGCCTTGCTAAGCATTTGTTTTTATGATATTGAACTAAATCTAGTAGTCATCTTCATTGTGTTGGACTCAGAAAATGGTATCCCCGACTCTGATGCCTGGGCATACTGAGTACTTGAAACTAATGGAAATGAGTTTGAACTAAAGGAAACTGAAAGGGTTCAGAAGCAAGATCTACCTCAAGTTCCCCTGCTTTTATTTCTCATGTTCCTCTTTCTTCCTGTTTGAGGCAAGCCATAGAAAATAGAATTCTTCTTCCTAAAGTTTCCTAGAAACTGGACCCTTTCTCCTTGAAAGCAAGCGAAAATTCTAGAAATACACTCCAACTTTCTGCCTTTCTGTGTAGGAGCTGGTCATGAAGAAATTCTCTGATCTACCTTGTTTGATAGTAGCCTATAAGAGCCTTGATCCTGAGAACTTCTGCCCCATACCTGGAGGAAGAGATGCTACACAGTGAATCCAAGAAAAATCTGAGCAGACTGGACTTGCTAGGCCTCTCCTCTCATCTATTACCATTACATCACATGCTTTTGTCCACACAAACAGAAGTTTTCCCTGGGAGTCTGGGTCTTCATTTCTGATGGCTCCCTTGTCACATGAATCTTTAATTACATGAATGTGTTACTCTTTTCTCTTGTTAATCTATCTTTTGTTATAGGAATGTTAGCTCTAACCCTTATAATGGGTGAGGAAAAGTATCACATCTTTCCAACCTTATAACATTAGAGTTGCATTAAGTCAGAGCATAGCAATTGGCCTGGTAGAGGGCAATACACCATATTTCTCATTTCAAGTACCGCATGTTGCATTGGATTATAGCTACTCATATTTCCCTAGCACCTTGCTTTTTACACTAAAGCAAAATACTTGAAGGAATTAGATCATCCAAACCACCAGATCTGGACAAAACTTACCAACCAGCATAGGCATACATTCCGTAATAAAAAGCCAGCGGCAACCCCATAATACTCGCATCTTTTCCAGAAAAGCCATCTTTAAAATGCTGCGTTTGCCCTGCAATTAGAATGCAGAAAAGTTCAGAGCTTTCTAAAGAACTGGTTATTATTTACCCTAACCATAAACACAGGAGTGAGGGAATGAACCAGTACTGTTTTGGGTCTGTATTTCTTATTCTCTGCTCATTAGCAGCTTCATATATTAATACTCTCCTCATTCTAGAGAAAAAGTTCCAAAAGTATATATTCATATTTATTCTTAATAGAGTTATAGCTAGGATGAAAATGACATTTTAGTAACAGTCTCTGATTGGGGCATGCCTCTATTTTGACCATGAAAGAAGCTGGTCCTTCATAGATTTTTTTAAAAAATGACTGTCTTGGGGAATGGTACAGTTTTCTTCTTGAAACATTAAAGAGAAATTACACTAAATTCTAGGCCGAGTTTTAATAAATTTTGCATCAAATGTGGATTGAACAATTCTGTTCACTTTTTTTCTTTATTTTGTGTATGGCAATGGATCTTTTTCTTATATATCTTTTGGATAGTTTAAAAAGTTAGATATTCAATCTACTTAGCCAATATGCAAACTTTAGCAGAAAAAAAGATTTCTATTTCCCAAAGAAAATAGTAAATAAGATTACCCTAATAAAACATGACTTCCCTACCCTGCTCCACTGCTGGTGGGAGTATAGACTGGTGCAACCACTGTGGAAATCAGTATGGAGATACCTCAAAGAACTAGGACTGGAAGTCCCATTTGACCCCACTATTCCACTGCTGGGGATCTTCCCCAAAGAATTAAAAGAATCATACCACAGTGATATATGTGTATCCATGTTCATAGCAGCACAGTTTGGGATAGCTAAAACTTGGAAACAGCCCAAATGCCCATCAATGGGAGACTGGATAAAGAAAATGTGTTTTTTTTATAAAATGGAGTACTACTCAGCCATAAAAAATGAGAAATTAGAGACATTTATAGCTAAATGGATACACATTGAGGAGATACTCTTAAATGAAATAAATAGGACACACATGTATAAATACCGAATAGTTTATCCAGTGTGAGAAACTGAAAGTGTAAATAAGGACTAAAATGTATAATAGGTAATGTGAAATAGGAAGAAAAGGGGCCAAGGGGAAGGAAGTGGGAGGGCTAGGGGAAAGGATAGAAGGGAATGGGATTAATATGAGAAAATGGAAAAATAGGAACAAAATCTTTGTAAATAGGGAGGGCTGGAGGGGTTGAAGGGAGGGCTGGGCAAGGGTGAAAAATAAGAACCAAGAGAGACTATGTAAAGGTGCAAATTTCCAATGATGAATGTCATTATATTGTATACCTAAAATGTACCAATGATTAGAATGAATAATCAATAATGTAAAATAGGAAGAAAGGGTCCAAAGGGGTAGGAGTAGTGGGAGGGGCAGGGGAAAGGAAAGAAGGGAAAGGAAAAATGATGAGAAATGGAAATAAAGTCTTTGTAAATAGGGAAGGGTGGAGGGGGTGAAGGGAGGGCTAGGAATGGGGAAAAAATAAGAACCAAGATGCATTATGTAAAGGTACAATTCCCAATGAGAAATGTAATTGTGTTGTATACCTACAATGTACCAATAAAAGAATTTAAGAAAAACAAACAAACAAACAAACATGACTTCCCTGTAAAATTGGTCAACCAAAGAAGGGCAAGAGGTAGCTGATGGACTCTTTCTCCCAAGTCAACTCTCAGATGCTGCCTGCATCACCATCAATGCATTGCCAGTGAGTACAGGAACCCAGAATTGCAGAATGTTGAGTTTTTCCTTTAAAGTAACCAATTTCCAAATACCTATAGCTCACTTTTTAAAATGATACAGTGAATGCCTGTTTTATTCAAACAGCTCTTTGTCCTTATAGAAGGAAAACATAAATACTGGTCTTCAGATAAAACTATCTCTTGAGTATTCTTTTATTATAATTTGTGGTCTTCTTGGCCTAAGGGGCAATATTCCTCCAAAAGCAGCACAGAATAATTGATAAGGGAAAAGAAAACAAAATCTTTGTAAAGATTGAGTCATAAGCACAGATCTTCAAAAATGCCGTTCTGAGAGTAATACAAAAGAGAAGCATTTTGTTTCTAAACTTCAAGAATATCTTGGCTATATAACAGAGGTCTCAGGAAGATGAAAGTCTACTGTTCAAAGGAAAGTTCAACACGTATTCATAAGTGAATACACAACATTATCAGGATCTGATTAGAGTAGAAATGGATGCACAGTATAGGTTAGTGAAGCTTTTCTCTTCCATCTCAGATTAATGTAGAAAATATGTGATTGTGTTACAAAGAAAACTACAATTTTATTTCATTTTTTACTAAGAGGACAAAAATATCTGCTAACAATGCTCTCCAAAATATTAAAAATTATTTTAAATGTCCTAATATTCTCAGGGAATTTCTCCATTGGGTGAGATAGACGGAGCCTGTTCACACTACACACTGATCTCATAAGTATGAATTAAAGATCACTCTATTGTAACTCCCCAAGGATCCAACACCTATATCAAATGAAGATTTTTGATTTCGAGGGACTTAAAATACAGTTCCTTACCATTTGGCCATCATCTCGTAGACATATGTAAATCAGTGGTAAGAACTGATAAAGGATTCCAATACTATCAACAATATCTGACATTATATTTGAAAGAAAAAGAAATTTTTACCTTAGTTTCAGGGGGTAGTATATCAATTTGTGGAATCTAAACGAGAACTAAAGAAGAGCCACTGACTCAGAGTTTCTACATTTTCTGAATACTGAAGAAGACCTTTACAAAAGACTAAAGTCTTAGCCCTGAAAAAGAAAGCACTAACATAATAGATGATTCTGCATATATTCCCAGTGAATATAATGGAAGATAAGCAGACCAGCTCTGTTTTGGGCAAGGTGAATTAGAAGAACAAGCTCATATCTTCCTTTCAGTGTAAGCTCTGGTGCTCAAAATCTTCATTGTGTTTATTCTGAGTTGGCTGAGGTTGCTGGATTTGATGAAAGCATTTTGCCAGCAGGGCTGTAAGATCTCCCACTAGGCTTATTAAATGGACAACAGCATCTCCCTTTCCCAGCTACAGAGTGACCGATCTTTCAGTGTTTGTTATTGTTTAATGCCTCTACCAGCAGCAATGATTTTGCTGAACTTTGGCATTTCCTTTCCCTTGTTGTAATTCTTTTCCTGCAATGTCATTAAATTTCTCTATAAATTCCCTTTCTTCCAACAGGCAAAATCAATGTAAACATTAAATACTTAACATGCCCAAGTTATAAGTCACTTCTTTGCATTTCTTACTTTCCTATTATTCCCTGCCTGAGTGCCCATTGCCAATTAAATAACTCATGTGGACCTCCTCCAACCATTTCAATGGAATACAAGCAATTGTACACACATCTTTCCTAAAACATCTAGAATTCTAAGTGTCATTGCCCCTGAACTTCTTTGTTATTAAATAGTAACCCTCTAAGGCAAATAACCCCAGAAAAATGTTCCATTTTGGTAGAAATGCAAATTTTATATTGAAAATAATGTAACAATCAAAGCTACGATTATGCAGCTATTTTTATTCTGAAATAAATATTTGGTTTTTTGGGAATGTTATTCCCATTTTCAAAAGATATCACTCTCAAGATAAAAGAAATGATAACCAAAAAAAATAGGATTATCAATCATCTATCATTATTTTCCAGAAATCTTTTTTCTCTTTAAACTTTATTACTATTATTGAACAACTTTAAAATAAAAATAAAAGAGCATATTTAACTGTAGTGGAAGATTGTTTTCAAAACTAATCTTGGCAGAGTTTTTTCCCACTTTGAGTTTTCACTCCAAGCAATTTATACCAGGAGAATTTACTGCTGCCTTATTTTGTTGGCTGACCCAGTCTTAATCCTCTTGCTGCCTCTCAACTGTAAATACCAACTCACCCTCAATGCCCCAGCCTTTCAAATCAATTAGATGACAGTATGGAGTTTAAGTTCCACAAGCAGAGACTAATTAAGGATTCTGCTGGTACCAGCAAAAGTTAGTGTTAGAAGACACCAAAAGCAGATACGTATTTTAAAAAGCATTTACTTTTCAGTGCATACCTTTAATTAGTTGTATAACTCCAGGGACTATAATTATCAGAATCGCTATGAGCTTGCAAAAGGTTAGGAAAATCTGAATCCGTGCACTCCAGCTGACACTCATGCTATTTAGGACCATCACCAGAGCTGCAAACAAACAGATGAAGTTGTGAAAGGCAAACCCTTGTGGGTATCAAGACATCTCAGGTTCTTGTTACTCAAAGTCCAAGTGTTGGTATTGCCTATAAGACTGAGAAATGCAGAATCTCAGGCTCTACCTCAGACCAAATGAATGCAAATCTACACTGCAGCAAGATCTCCTGGTTATTTTTATGCGCATTATAGTTTGAGAAGCTTAGAAAGTTACAATTCCTCTCTGTTCTTTGTATATGTCAGTAAGAAAGGACATATATTGTATGCATATAAAAATATCTTCTAAGAAAATGCTGACATCATCACAGAATGCAAATTTCTGAACTTGACTCTAGCTTAACATGGCAAGTTTTTCCAACCTCAGTGATAGCACACCTACCAGGGTGGAGCACACTCCAGAAGAAACAAGAAGTGGACAAGTTAGCTGGGATCTTACTCTTCACCCTCAGGATTAGCTTTAATCAGCATTTTTCTTTTTGATCTCTTCTTCATTTTTCAATTGGCATATGAAAGTTTGACTTTTAACCTACCCTACAAGTGGAAGCTTCCAAGGTATGTTTGGGGACTTAAGAATCTCTGGGTTAGGACACAAACTAGGCCCAAAGCTAGCAGAATTTCCCATTCTTAATGACACTGCCCACAGCTTCCCAAGAAGTAATAGCTATGTACCTTTCCCACCTTGTGGAACATGACAATGTCAAGAGGAAGACAAGAGCTACTCATCTCTGTAGTGACAATATCGAGCTCCATGCCTGGCCCAGGTAGATAACTAACATTTTTTTGTTCGAATGCATGAATGAACTGGATCCTCTGTTAGAAAATCTAAGGCACAAGTGAACAGTGATTCTCTAAGACCCTCTTCCTCTACCCTGTAGAAATGACTAGGAGTATTTTAGACAAAGAGTCTCAACTTTGTGGTCTTTTCAAAACTTTATGCTTAGAGTTAACAATGACAACAAAAATAGCTACTTTATTTACAGTTATTATCTATAAGCTTTATTTTGATAGAGATGCATTATCCCCAAACAACAAAAAAATGTATAAAAATATATTTCAGGGGATTAAACAAATTACAGAATTCTTATAATTCAAGTTATAATTGTAGGTTTTCCATCTGTAGAATAATAATAGTAACCCTCACACTTTCCATTATCTGATATAATCACTAGCTCATTTCAACATTCAACTACATTATTTTCTCAACACATAATATATTTTGGTAGAAATTTTTACAAAAATATAGACCCTTAAAGGGAGACTAATTAAGGTATATCTTATTTAATGGCTTTATGTATATAATTATTTAAAATCATGATGCAATTAGATATTTATTACATGATATTTTACTGACCAACAGGAATGGATGGATAGGTATATAAAGATAGATAGATAGATAGATAGATAGAGGAAAAGAACTGAAGGAATATTTGCCAAAACATTAGTAGCAAGTATCTATAGATGATAAATTCCAAATAATTTCCAATTTCTGATATTTATTTTTCAGCAATATTTCAATAAATTTTATAATGAACATATACTTCTGGGATGACTGTAGCTGACAGTGCTAAATTGTATACTTCAAATTTGTTTAACTGTTCTCACCACAAAACAAAAACAGAGGTAAGGGACATAAGGGAACCAGCAATCACATAAAAGTGAAATAGGGCTAAAGAATTTTTCAGAGGAGGAGTAATAAGAATGATTGGAAAGCCCAAAGCCCTGAATCAGCTACAGCAGAGGCCAAAGGGAAAAGGGAAAATATGTTATCTATTTTGAAACGGAAGACATGAAGACAGGTCCATTGTCAATGCATAAGTACATTATTTTTTCAGGAATGACAAAAATATAAAATTATTTCTCCCTCCTCAATAAAAATCATTTGTGTACTGAAAATATTTTAGGGCAACTCTGTTCCCTTCTTCATCATTCTGTGATTCCTTTCTTTTTCTATGCAAATGACTGTGATAAATGAGTCATCTTATGAAAATGATTATTTTTTTTTAACTAAAGAAGTTCAACTTTGACTTAAAAGGAAAAAAAATGATGTCATCCTCCCATCAGTGACAAAAGAGCATTCCTTTCTTTTAAACAGAGGTCTAAAGCCCAAAACACTATCACTGAAAGTACTCCAATGGAAACCACCCCCTGGGAGAAGTAAGAAGAATGAGAAAAAGAAAAAGAGATAAGCAGACAAAGAAAGGAAGAAAAGAAAGGGAGGGAAGGAGAGCAAAAGGAAGGATTTAGCCTATTTCAGGAACATCTAACCCTCCTTATATTTGAAAGGGGAAAAGAGGAATTGTTATTTCATTAAAAGTATGTAATGCTTATTGAAACAGGGAAAAGTGAGTATTTGCGATTTTCTTTTACATTTTCTAAAGTTTTCTGAAACAAACGGAAGACAAAGCAACCACCATGAATTGATAACTTCATCTCGCTTTCCTCTTAGACACCTGAAACAAAAATTCTGATTAGGCCCAATTTTTCTCAAAGGTTTCTCAAACCTGCTTTATCTGAGCACCCAGACATTGCACTCATTATTTGGCACACCGCATTCCAGCTGAGGGGCACCTTCGTGACCCCAAGGCACAGTTTAACAAGGAACAGGCAGGCAGTGCAGAGGCGAAGCTGGGGCTCTCTGGTGGCCAGAACCGCTGCTCCAACACGTGTCTGTACAGCAGAATTTAAGACTGTGGATGTTGCTTACCCAACAATATTGAAAAGGGATTTGGGATTCACTGAATCCAAGAGCTTTCTGAGTTTCTGAAATAAACAGAAACTATGTTTTTTGTACATACGATCTACTCGCATTGTAATAGTAAGAGATCTTAGCCAGCTCTGTGGTCCTGCTTTCACTTCCTTTGAGTAATTGCTACTTTTACACATAAGGAAATAATTATATCAGTTTGGATTTTTTTCCTGACTCAAATTTTTACCAAAATGAAAATACAGGACCATATAATTTTTATTTACTTATTTATGGTACAGGTTCCTAAGAACTGAAATACAGCAATGAAAGCTATATCTATAAATATTGGAGATAAGAAATATATTTGAAGGGAGCTATATTTGAAGAGGATGCTTAGAAGAATGTTAAGGAGTGATGCTCTGACTTAAAGACAGGCAAGTATTTCTCTGCACTGTCCATAATTCAAGTCTGCCTTTGGTTTTGAAGAGAGAGATTAACGAGTCTGGATATATTGGGTTTTCACTCAGGTTCAGATTCTTTCTGGCTTACGACTTGTAACTGCTTCATGCCAAACTGATAAAATATATGGATGCCACGCATATATGCTACATGGTGAGATAAAGTGAGTGGTTCTGCTGCTTTTTGCAATAACTGCCTGGGTTCCCTTTATCTCTTTGTTAGCATTCATTTCCTGGATGCATTAATGTCGGAGAGGATGTGTAGCAGTAAGCACTTTTAAGAGCAGAAAGTTAGTCTATATCTACACTCTCACTATTGGAAATAGAAATGGTAACCATTAAATAAATGTAAACTATTATGTATGGCAAATAGTGTGCAAAGACATTACATGGGTAATGTTATTTAATCCTCGTAACTCTGTGACATCACTATTATTGTTGGTCTTGTTTTTAAGGTAAGCAGCTGAGACTCGATATTACTTAACTTGTCTATGTTCAAATAGGCAATAAGTGGGAAGATAAGATTGTAACCTAGATAGATAGATAGATAGATAGATAGATAGATAGATAGATAGATAGATAGATATAGAGATAGAGATCGAGTTCTTTTAAACACATGTTAATAGCCTTTCCTCTCAGTAAAGGTTTATGTTTATCTTAGCTTGATCTCATGGCACTTTAATTCCACATTTAATTTATTATCCTCCTAAAGACCATTGTTGTTGTTTTGCAGTATTTGTATGTTTTAACACTGTAGATCTACTTAAGAATTGGTTGCGCTGGTAGTTATGGTAGAAAAGGAGTAGCTATACCAGGCTTCAGAAAATTTAAACAAAGGCATTCCATCCGTTGTGTTTGAAATGCTAACTCAGAACCAGTTCTAGATTTTTCTTTCATAGAATTTAATGCTAAGAAAAGTTTTGAATAAAAAAAATACAGTAATAGGTTTATAGAACCAGTCAATTGATTTTCAGAATGCAATTCAAATTTTACTTTGTTTATTCCTCCCCACTACACCTACATGGTCTGAGAAGTAGTATGCAATTCTTAATTCATCCATATAAAATAGCTTAGGGAAGGATTTAAGCCTTAGAGAAGTTCCTTAGCCATGGACCTAGGACTAGACCTCACATTTTAAGTAAAGTATTCCTACGGTAATGAGATAGGAGAGTAGGGCATGACAAGCTGGCTAGGGAAGTAGGCATGAACTACGCACTACAAGATCCCAGACACATGGGCAGAACAGCTCCCAAAGGCCTCCCCACTGCCTCTCAGGATCCGTTTGTAGAAGTTCTCGCGGGTTTCCTCGAGATTTTGACAGCATAAAGGAGCGACACCACAAGAAAAACTTGCTATGGTGCCTTTACCTCGGGATCGGCCACTCTGATTTCTCTAGGGTTTTATTTTATCTTGCTTTTTCCTCTTACTCTGCCCAAGCTCATTCTGCAGAGCCAGTTTCTTCCCCACTCTTCGCTTTTACTTTCTTGAATAAACTGTGCCTCTTTCTTTTCCCCTCGTTTTGTTCAGTTTTTTTGTTCGAGAGGAGAAGAACCTGGGATCTAACTCCAAAGTGAGAGGCGTGCCACTCAGTAACATTTAGTTGGGGAGCCATTTGTAGAAGCAGTGTATCCAGTAACAGTAATATTCTGCCATTCACCTGTACATTTATAGACGGTCTAAACTTAGGAGACCAGAACAAAAGACTAGATATTTTAAAATACTGAGCATACTTCAATGTTCATAGTCTCTCATGGAAGATAAAGGGAATTAATGTTAGCAACTGGGCTCTAGGAGAGCAACAAAATGTGAACATACAAAATTCTCCGGTAAAACTTCCATGTTTCACATACTTACCAGAATAGACAAGATTTCAGCTAAGCAATAACTTTTGATATTTATTAATTTGGTAGAAGTGAAGTAGAGTACGTTTTAAAAAATTAAAGTAAATTAGCATTTAGTTAACTCCCCTCCTCACCCTACTATCATCTCTCAAATGGTTTTATTTCACAAAATTTGACTCTTTTTCTATGTATAACAGGACCCTTCAGGAGTGACCTTTTTCTACACTTAACTAGAAATTTTAAACTCTGTTTCCCTCAAGAAACACGGGGACGCAATTCATGCAATTAAACTCTATTTTCTACATCCCAGTAATCTTCTAACCCTACAGGCAGAAAATCACCTATAGTCACTTTGAAAATTAAAGGATGTGAGAGATGTGCCCCTAGGTAAATTTCTCTATCTCTATTTCCATCTCCACCCCCTGTTGCTCCATTAAAGCTAAATTCTTCTTAAAGACAGTTTGACTTTCCCAATTAGGCCATTGATTTAAATTACTTCCCATTGAGTCATAAGAAATTTCCCTTTTCTCCTTAAGAGATTCTGATAGTGGGAACACAGCTCCTTTTCAGAATCTCAAACTTAAAAAGGGAACAACAAAATGTATAAACTAATATTATAATTAGTGGCGAAAATAGAAGGAAATGTCTAGGTTTATTCTAGGAAATGTCTAGGTTTGTGGAAGACTTACTCAGGGCTCTTTACAAATAATTCTATCATCAACTGCTACAACATATTTTGTAAACATTTTTTGCAAACATTTTTTGTTGTCCTTTCTCATAACTGCTTTAAACCTTCGCTTTGAACAGTTTCCATTTAATCATCTAAAATATAAATTTTTCCTTTAAAAAGTTTAATGAATTGTAAAAAAAAAGTAAACTAGTCTTATAAAAACAGAAATATCATTAGCCATCTAATTTCAAGTCCAAAGCAGGCAAAATTTATATATTTCAAATTTACATATAGAATATACTTAAAGACCTCTACTTAAAGCATTTAATCAATATGATTAATTTCCAGAGTTATCAATAATATCAATCAGTTATCTTATCAATTTTAACACAGTATCTGTGACATTTGTCTCAATTATTCAATGGACATGAATTTGGTAAATATAAAAATGGCCATTAATTCAATCCTTCAGTGAGACATCAGATTAACTGAAAATTTTCTATGGGCAGGGCATCGTTTTAAGGCTCTTAAAAATCTGACTTACATATATTGTGTCATTTTTCTATAGTCCTTCAAAGTAAATTACCTGTTCATAGGAATTTTAGAAATAAATAAACAGGCTAAATGAGGTTTAATTATTAGCCAAAGAGCATGTAAAACATAAGAACACTAACTTCCAAACCCAAACTGTTTGCTTCCAGTGAGCAACATCCCACAAAAACTCAGTGTTAGATCCTAACATCTTATCAAACAAACTCTATTTCATTATGCCACCAATTACCCTGCTAGCTCAGAAAACTAGAAGATATACAATCCTCCAAATTTAACAAATACATAAACTGTAGACCTTTCTGCTGCAGAAAAAATTCTTAGACCCATTTTTATAAAATTAATCAGTAACAAATCATTATTGAGCACAAACAACATGCTAGGAGCTATAAGAGGGACTGGAAAGACTATAATGTAAATGGCACTAGTCTCATGGAAATCCCACTAATGTCTTCCCACAAGAACATAAATAGCTACTATTTGTATTGTATTATGTATAAATTAAAGATTACTCAAAACATTTTCTACAGACTGACTCATTTAAAAATCACTTAATACTCATAACACTTTATAACACTGGAATGATTAGCTGAGAAGAACAGAGATACAGAATGGCTAAGTAACTTGCTCTCATATCTTCCCTACATCTGGTATCTATGTGTGTTAAGAACAAGATGATTTAAGTAAGTACATCATTACCTCTCTAGAACTTGGAAAAGTCTACTGTGAGTAACTTTGTCTTTTCAAAGACTTCACAGAATAATTGTATGTACAAGTTTGATGGATAAAGTAGGAAATCTGATATGAATTTAAATAAATGCACAAATATATGTAAGTGCCATAGGAGGTATTTTTACATGTAATTCCTTTTACCTACAACCTAACCACTCACCTCTCTGTTGTCAAAAATATGCTGTCCTTTTTATTGTTCTATTGAAACACTTTAGAACAAAATCCTAACCATTCTTCTATAAGCCCACAATTTAGTTATTCTTGTGTAGCTTACTATTTCTGAATTCTTAATTAAAGGTGAGAACATTGGCTCTTAAATAGTGATTTGATTAGCATGTAGAATTAGGTTATCCTTTTTCATGACATTCTGGAATTTTTTAAGAAGTTAGAAAGAGATTTGACTTTGTATCACATATAATTTTATGCATGTTCCTCTTTTTCATTTCCACTTTTTCAATTTCTAAAATCTATATCCATTAATTAAAAATGAACCACATTCTAATTTGTAGCCCATAAAGAAAATTTCCCAACTGAGAAATGTCATTAATTATCAAATCATAAAAGAAAATTCTTATCATGGCCAAAAAAGGCAGCGAAAACTATGACAGAGTGACATACTAGCACTATAAATTGTATGAACAAAATATGCAAGCCTAACACATCAACATAACCATACACAAGTTATAATTCCATGACTATACACAGGTTGTAATTCAACATATCATTGAGATAGGATAATTTCCAATTTAGAAAAATCACAAAATAGTTAAATTTTCATTCTTAAGAATCTCTTTTCATATACAATCTACTCAATATTTTACCAACACAGCACTTTTTTGTCTATTTTAAAAGATTTGCCATCATATGTATTGACAATGAAATATTTTGTGTTAAAATACCAATGACTATGCTAAATCTTATTCTTTCTATATTTTTCCAACACAAATTTGGAACTGTAAGGAAAAAGAACACTATTTGGTGAGCAGTACCACCATGCAAAAACTCCAAAGGAAATCAGTCTCCAATAACTCTTGTATTGCTTCCCTCCTTTTCATGCTTGTACCTGTAATACTCACTTATGCCCACAGCTGTGATGAGCTTGATTGCAAGTTCAGGAATTTCACACGGCATAAAAAATGGTTCCAGTATGTAACGTCCAAAGGCCAGGGATATCACAGCAGTAGCTGCAGGACTAAAGAAAAAAAAAGTAAAACACAACAAAAATAATAATAACTACAGGGGAAAAATAAATAGCATTTTCACTAAAAATTTTTCTATCATGAAGTATTACTACTTAGCACGTGGAATGAGTGTAGCCATAAAGACTATAATTTAAAAATTATGTATTTAATTAGGTTGCCGTGGACATTTCAAAGGAAATATCACCTATAACATTGTTGGCTAGTTTTTAAATATCCTTGGAAGCAAGTCTGAGAACTATCAAGTCAGCTCAAGCTCTCTTAATATTTGACTTCTTATTCCTTACATTTTTCATTTATCAAATGAGATCCTGACCCAGCTAGGCCTTACCGGAAGCAGTCTTCTTCCTCAGTAACTTAATAACTAAGCTCCAGCCACAGTACAAGTTTGTTAACGATACAGATCTAATGGACTGTGCATGGTGAAGAGAAGGAACACAAATCTCAGTCTAGAAAGTTAGTATTAATACATGTCCCTTGCCAATACATGCCAAAATAGCTGACACTGTTCTGTTCTTTTCTTTCCAGTACCAATACTCAAAGTCAAGTAATTTTTATTCATTCTATAAAAATATTTAGATACAAAATATAAATTTTAAAATAAGAGTACTCATGATTTTATACAATTAAGAAATGCATAAGAAAATCAGTTCAGATGTATAGCAACAAGGGTAATAAATCAATTGATTCTAATTCTTCATATACTTCTATGAGGAAATTGCATCTCTTCATATGTATACATTCTTTCCATTCACAAGAAAGTCCACAGAATTATCTACTTTCTGATGCCTGGCTTCCCTTTCAGCTTCTCTGCCTTCTCATGATTACCTACCCCTAATATCTGATCCCTAGGTTATCAGAAACCCAACTACCAATATGTATTTCCAACTTTGGCCTGCTGGTGCTAGACAGCACCATAAATATCTTGCCTTTCTTTTTTTCCCAGGAGCCTTTTTCTGTTTTCCCTGAATAAGACTGTTTCCTATGCTACATCATTTATAGACATTTTTGATGTACAAATTAAAATCTGATCATGTCATTTACCATTTTCAAAACATGCTCTGGATATGTTAATATCCTTCACATTGTATTCAAGACTCTACCTCTTCTGAGTACCCTCTATGTCTTCAATTGACTTCCTCCCACTGGAATAATCAAAATTCTCTCTGTCTGGAGCATCTTCAACTCACTGTTTTTAATTCTTTAGATTTTGGTTCAATCTTCCTTGGTCCAGAAATGCTTCTCTGACTCTGATTGGGTCACATGTCCTAGAGTATTCTGTTACTGAACACTAGCTTCCCTTCTATACTTCTAATCATGGTAGCAATTTCTATTCACTTGTGTGATTCCCTGATTGATAACTCTTTCCTCCAACTAGACACTGAATTCCATAAGATCATCTTAATCATGATTTTATCCCCAGATTTAGTACAGTGTCTGTCAAGAAGTAGAAACTCAATACATATTGAATACATGGTGAATGAGTGAATTCATTTTAATGATCCCTGCTATATACTGTTGGCGTTTTCTTTCCTTGAATGTGCTTTACAGATTATACCTGGCAACAGCAACTTAATCTGAAGCTATAATTTTAATAGAAGTATTAAGGTAGTGTGGGTATAAGTAATAGAAGAGAAACATTAAAATACTTAGGTATCTTGTCTCTCTTCAAATATTTGAAAGATTATCCAGCAATATGAGTTCAGTAAGACAAAGGCATATATAAATACATTTAAAATCTTCTAGAATTTATCTAGACAGTTTCTTCTATTAACACACACACACAAATACACACACACACATCATAAAGCAGTTCTTTCAAAATTAGAGAAACACTGAATTATCAGCTCTTTGGAAGGAAGAATTGGGACTCATTCAAATTTAGATCTCCCTATCTTGCTATTCACTATTTGATGGCAGTTTATGGAATGAATAAACTAATCAATGAGCACCATATATGTACAACAGGAAATGGAATGATTATGTTTATAATAATGCCAAGCAATTAGTCAGGGTTACAAATACATACATGAAGATGGATTCAAATCCAACTATATCCAACACCAAAGCTCAACAGCCTGTCAGGCCAGTGCTCTATGTAAGTAGTGCACTTATTTGAGTGCTGAATATATTGCATTCAAAATAGTATAAAGTTTCTATCACTTATTAAAAAAGAATTTATAACTAGGATACACAAGGCACTAACTTAAGTAGTATAAAGATTATAAGAAATGTAGGATCTGATCTTACGTCATTGAAATGCTTGTAGTTTTAACAGGAAAACAGAACACAGGCACCTAAAATATTAAATAAAATTCCAAGATATCAAGTTCAATGTCAAATGAGAAGCAGGGAATGAATTTTCCAGAAGAATTAGAGATGAAAGAAATGTTAAAGGCTAGAATAAACAGGTAATTAACTGTGAAAAAGATAAGATTTATGTTGACCTTTGAAGCACGTATAAGATTCACATAATCAAAAAGGAACAAAAGATTCATCCCAGGTAGGGAAATCTTAGAAAAGGAATAAAATACTCCTTTGTCATTTCATTATAACAAGTTCTAAGAAACTCAGAATTGTTTAAAATGAGAATAGACTTAACAATATATACTATTCTCACATTCATTGTGAAGAGACTCAACACTATAAAAATCATGATTAGTGTTAATAGATACTTATTTACTCTGCATTTGCCACATCCTGTAAATGACAGAATAAAAGCTCACCCAAGTTCTCAGCTATGTATAGCTGATAACTTTACAATAAGACCAAGTTTCCCTAGTTATTTGTATTACATTCTGTAACTAGAAAGTGCAAGTCACATTGCAGGAAACCATTTAGCCTTAAGGGACTGTGCTTTTCTTAAAGCACTCATGTGACATCATAAATTCTCCCACAAAATTGAAAGAAAATTGCTATTCAGAGTGACTTAGCACTATCCACTGCCAAGAAGATCAGGAAGAGGAACACAGTTTTACAATAATAAAAGCAAAAGATTTTCAGAACTAGTTATGTGACTAATTTAATGTGAGGAAGTGAGTCACTTATGATATGTAAACTTGAATTTTTTTGGTAGAGTAGACTTGATGACACATGAAGTTGTTAAACACAGACATGTCTTAGTCACAAAAATGGAGTAAAGTTAAAGGACTTAATTACATAATCTTCAATAAGAGAAAACTCTAATTGTTAGTACAGTTAATTGTGTCAAAAGGAACAATTTATAAAGGTAATTTTCGTGTTTCATATACTAGAAAGGTTTGAAAGATGTTATAAAATACATTAAGTAAAATTAGTTACAATTTTAGATAAGCATGCTTCTTAGAAATATAAAAGAGAATAACAGGATTAAAGAAAAGTAGTACTCTAAAAAGTTTAGCATTGTTGCTGAACCACTTCCAGTGATAAAAAAATGCATTAAAAAATTTAATCTAGGAAAGAACTGCATCACAGATTTTATGTCCGAACATATGCATGTTTACAGAAGAGTCACTTGACATGCACATTTCTAACTGGTTAAAAATAATCAAGTTGATTCAGAAGAATGATAAAATTAAGTTTTTCTCTCTATGTTCTTACCGTATTATGAGCAGTTCCACCCAGACTCGTACAAAGGCTAATAATGGGCCAAAGACTTCCAGGATATATGTGTAATGACCACCAGATTTCTTTATGCTTGTTCCCAATTCAGCATAGGACAAGGCTCCTGTGAAATGGTTATGATAAAAAGGTATAAATCTAACATATTATCAAACAATCTTGTTGACTTAGCTCCACAATATTTATGTTGCGTGAGATGTAACTACTACCTCTTTTCTGAATGGCATCCTTATTTCAAAACTACCGTCATCTATTGTTGAAACCCACCAAGTTCCTCTCATGATTTCCTCACATTTGAATCCGAGTTCATTCTACTTCAACAATGTCACTTTATTTGAAATGGTAAATACAAACTTCTAAAACACTATTAAATGTTTCTAAATTTTGAGTTAGAAACCAGGAAGCAAGGAAAAAAAGAAAAAATGGATACCAATAACACTGACCTGTTTTTAACCTCATACCAAGACAAGTAATTATCCCAAACTGAACTTATTATGTTGAGAACTCTTAAAAATATGTTTGTCTGGCAAATCAAAATAAGTTCAGAGTGTATGGGTTATATGCCATAAAAGACTTCATTTAATTTGCAGGATATACTTTGTCAGGAAAATTAATTCTGATTTATTGTCCTGTTTCTAAAAGGGGTACAATAAATGCTCTGCTTTTTGAAAAGATATGCTATAATGTATGTTAAGTGAAATTAATTATAAACTACATTTTTAACAGGTAGCAATACACTTCACATGGAATTGGGCAAGTTTTGTAACTTTCAAGACCTATAAAGTAAAAATTTCAATTTTTACTTCAGAAAGGAGTTGTGTATATGAATGACAGTGATTGCCAAAGCCAGTACTGGGCCTGATACATAGCAAGCACTACATGAAATATAGTTATACTTATTAATTTGAGCAATTAATATCAAGAAGATGAAAACTAAATTTAAAATCATGTAAAAAGTTCTATACTGTTAAATGCTCATATGTAAGCCACAGTTTTTGCCCAAGCTACTTAAGACACTGTGTATGGAAAGTTATTACTAGTTGGTAACATTTCATACAGATTTGTTCAACATAACTTGGATGCTCAAGGAAATCTCAGTAACACTTACCTATTCCAGAAGTAGTATTATATTTGAGCTACCTCGATTTTTCATTTTAAAAAATTCAAAGGAAAAACACTCTAAGACCTTTCTATAGACTCACCAAGCAAAAGAATCCAAATGCTCTAAAACAGGAATAAAAAGGCTTGTAATTTTAAAATTCCTAGATGATTCCAAAGTAACTAGTATGCAGGTGGATGCATAGGGGCCAGTGATACATTTCTTCTACTTATAACTAATTATAACTAGTTGCAATTCATGCTCTTTTGGGAAACAGTCGCCATGTTGGTAGACTGTTCAGAAAAGCATCCAATATAAAATTTTATTGGAAACAGTCTTTAAGTACCTCAGAATTTATTGTCAGACAATCAACACCAAACCTCAGTGTGATTTGCAGAAACTTTAGGATGGCTACTCTAGGTTTAAATTAAGTTCTGAGGAATGAGATTTTCATTTAAGGGTCTCAATAACCATTTTATATGGATGAAAAAGTCCAAAGCAGGATATGAAAATCCATGTATTGACACTGGCTAAAAAAACAAAAGTTATAATCAAATAAATATGCACCTTCACTTACAGAGGGACTACATTTCAAAAACACCATCGTAAATTGAAGATATTGTTCACCACTTAATATATCTAAACTGCTGAATATCATAACATAGCCTAGCCTAGCATATTTGTATTATTGTAAAGTCTTTAAAAATCTTAAATAAAATCACTGTAAACTGGAGACCATTTTGTACATAAATTTTTGACTCTTAGTCCCGTATTTCCAGACCTTAAAAAAAACGGAAGGTTTTCCCCTTACATTTTGCTCTTCTTTCTGGAAGTCACAAGTATGATAAAAAAATTTTTGTTTTGCACTTTTGAAAATCTGTACACTTAGGAAAGAAATACATTGAACATACCATGCAGTTAGCAATAATTAGTATCATAACTATATAGAAAACTTTATACATATTTACTTAGTTTTTACTCTTAAGGAAAAACTTAGACTCCTTTAACAGGTTTTTACAGTGAATACGTAACTGCACTGACACCTAATGGACATCTGCTAGGAGTGGTGGTGAATGCTATAATCCCAGCATTTGAGAAGCTGTAGCAAGAGGATCACCACAAGTTCAAGGCCAGCCTGAACTAGATAGCAAGACTGTCTCAAAAATCCAAACAAGAATTAAAGGACATCTTCAGAGCTCTTGTACATTTAAGAAATGGTGTTTATGACATGAATAGACTTATTACCCAATATATAAGTGTAATTCTTTTAGATAATAACAAAATATTTGTTTAATCAAAGCCAACAGATATAGATCGAGTTTTAAATGATCAAATTTAAAGAGAAGCTACATTTTTATCTTTTTTTTAATGTCTAAGGTCTAGATGTATGCTGTATAAAAGAGAGCATCTATTAGTTACTTTGAATGTATTAACCTTATGTCATTTTAATTTTATAAACTTTAAAGCTTTGACTCACAGTATATCTTGTTTTCAGATGTATCTCTACTCCAGATATATGGGTTGAATCATAATCTAAGATAATAGTTGTTAATTTAACTAACCATAAATTTATTATTGAAAACATTTTACAAGCGAACACTTAAATATTCTTTAACTCTTAAAGCTCAGTTTAAGTAACCAAAAGCCTAACAATGGAGAACATGAGAAACTATCTTAATAAAATATAGAACATTTGCCTTTTAATCTATCTTTGTAAATTTAACCAGGAGGATCTTTTAATAAGAAAACCTTATTATTTTAGACATTTAAAAGCTCAACCTTTTAATTATAGCCAACTCAAGTACATTATAATAATTTATTTAATAATTGTTGGGCTGTGGTACCATAAGATTCTGGGAAAAACTGGACAAGCCACCCATGAGAAAAGTACATTTATGGGGGCTGGGGATAGCTCAGTGGTTCTGCTCCCTGCCTTGCAAGCACAAGGTCTTGAGTTTGATCCCCAGTACCAAAAAAAGAAAAAAAAGAAAAGTACATCTATAAACAAGTACATTCTACTTAAATGTCACTCTGCTAACAGAGGATGGTTAAAAGATAACAAATTAAGTAAAAGTTTCTTTATATCATTTAATATTTTGTAATTAAAGGTAACTGACTAAAAAGTTATTTTATACTAAAATAGAGATTTAAATGTATTTCAGACATAATAACAAAACCTAAATGGTTCTAATATAATGTCACCATGATTGTCATACTAAAATGATACATTGTCATTGACCTCAAATCTTCTCTGTAAAACTTTATAATTGTTATCTGTTGACATTCTACAAGAGTTCGACTTCAAAGATGACCATGATTTGTAAAAAATAACAGTTCTATGGTCATATTTTATATTTCAAGGCACTTTATATCTAGAGAAGATAGTTAAACCTACTACTACTACTGCAATATTTATGTAACTAATCTCCTGGGTGATCAAGAACTGTGGTTTGAAGACAAAAGCTTAAAAAAAGGGTGACTTGGCTAAGAAGACAGGCAATATTTTGGCCCTGGCCTACCAAGGTCAACAAGGACCCAAGATATAAGGAGAATCTTTCTGCAAGATTCTACATTTTAGTGAATCACCCAATCTCTCAAGCAAGAAGACTGTTGGACCCAGGTTTACAGAATTCAACCTGTGTACCTTGTATTCAAAGGAGGGTCACTAAAGAGAGAACCATCTCCTGTGCTTCCACGGGAAGCCACATGGTCAACCAAGACCTTGACGCATCCTAGCAAATGACAATGACAGAGGCACTCAGAGGCTCTGTACATGTTCCATATGTAACCTCTGAAGAACCTTAACTGACCTTGATACATAAGGGGGAGGTTAATATTGATTAACACAGGTCTTACTTTAACTTGGTCTTAAATACCCAGCAGAAAAGTAGGACCAAAGATGTATAAAAATAATAGTAATATAGGAAAGACACGGAAAACAGGCTCCTATCACTACACTGATCCCTGCTGACAGTCTCCAACTACACCTGTAGTTAACCACTATTACTGTTCAATGAGGCTAGAAAAAAGCCACAGTAACAGCTACAGAAGCTTAAGAAGAATCTTCAAATTCTTAGCCAAAGTTGTCCTTCGAAACCATAGAGCTCTCCATCTTCTTGCAAGTATAGAGAGATTTGTGCACTAATAAATAAAACTTGCTGTCTTTAGATAAATAAATCAATCAAGTGAAAAAAAGATCTTAAAACAATAAAATAGATATCAGACATATAGATAACTTCCATTAAACAGGCAAGTCTAGGACCCAACTGGTTACAATTCCTATTCCAGTCCCTTAAAACTAGTGTCTTAACCTGGGCTTCTTTCCCAATTTGTCTTTTCATTCTGGTTCTTATGGGGGGCCATGCATTCTTAATCTCTTGGTAAAATGTGTTTCTTCTTGCCTAAAGACTATCAAACTCCAAATGGTCATACAGATGGAGCCAACCATGAATGTGCTGGATTCCTTTTACTGGGGTCCGCTAGATCAGTCCGCTAAAGAAAGTACATCACTGCTAAAACCCAACATGACTTCTATCCAAGGCCTCTTAAATTAGCTCTCTGGAGACAATCCCTGACTGCTGTCTCCCCTACATCAACCCCTTTCAGCATGAAGCAGCTAGATTTGGTCTCCCTCTGTTGTTCTCCCTTAGTGGCAGTTAAAGTTACTTCTTCAGAACAGGGAAATGTAGAAAATAGTTTATTTAGTTAGTTTATGAATAAGGCGGCTAGCTAATGGGAGGACCTGCGATAGAGTGGAGTGACCAGCCATACTGAGGAAAATTGGACTGCACCCTAGAACTTTGGACAAAGAATGGATTTCCTCAGGCAGCATGGAATGCAACCCATTCCCTACTAAAAAGAGGTGCACGCTCTCTTTACTGAGATCCTGAATTTTGCGGAAATTACAATGCAAATTAACACAGTTCCTTCTGAGATTCCAGTTTCCTATAAACCCTACATGTGGAAGAGCTGGGTTAAAACCTTGAGTCCCAATTGGTCATTTCAACTCCACAGAGCCCTTTGTGATAGGTGAACACTAAATGTTTAAGCAACTACCCAACTTGCCTGTCCATAATTCTAAATTGAGAGCCCATGCAGCTACCCTGGACAGGACCTCTCCTGGAAATCCAGGAGCTGCTCTCCTCCATATTTCCAATAAAAACTCTAAGCTCAAAAAAAACCCAAAAAACTACTAGTAATTTAAATGAACAGTGGCATGCAAATCTATTGATAAGTTGATTAATATACAAGCACATTCCCTTTAATTAGTAATCAAAAACATTAACTCCATTGCAACCTAAGCTATACTCCCCTTAGCTCTTTTTTCTTTTTTTGGTTTCTGCATAAGGTAATATACTTATGAATAAGTATGTTTTCATCATACAAGTCAATATCACTTTAGTTCAGTATGCATAGTAATCTATTTTATTACATCTAAAATAATGTGCACAATTTATTTTATTACATCTTTGTGTGCAAAAATTGAATCACATAGTAGGAGCCACATCTACATAGGTATGCAAAGTCCAGGAAACTCGCTGTAGTTACTCTGATTAGATATTGGGTTTTTTTCTAAATATACCAAGTGTTGTAGGAAGATTAAAGCCTGGGGGTATACAAAGTCACTTCAGAAGAGCAACAGTAAAATTTCTCTTTGTCTACACATGCATAAGCTGAAAATATTTTGATATAAGTAGTGACTGAGTGTTCTATCAGAGTCTTTCATAACCATATTACTCTAACGTGTACAGCAAGGACAGAGAGAAGCACTAGAAGAACAATGACACACAACTGTTACTAAACATTTGATAAAGTACAAGCTATTTTTATAAAACATACTACAAACTCCTCCTGCCTCAGCCTCCCAAGTGCTGGGTTTATAGGCATGTGCCATCACACCTGGCTGCAAACTCGTTTTTAAAAACCTAAAAATAATTCCTCCATAGATCTTTCTCTACTGAGACTTCACTGTAACAAGTTTTATTTAAAACATCTAAAATTTAAATTCTCTGGATGTTGCCCCAACCAATGAATTAAAACATCATGACACTGAGTAGGAAGAATGAATGGATTGATGCACATAGGATTAACAGTAGGTACTGTACTTGATCAGAGATTTAGGACAAGATGTTAGAAACTTCAGAGGTAGTATCTTTTGAAATCAAACCACACTATGTTCCAGAGAAGAGCAAAAATACCAGACATTTACTCCATACTACAAATGAAATTTGAAAAAAAAATTTTGGACAATTCACTAGTTTGTGTGACCTTTAGAATTAACTCAGGTATCTTTCTAGGAACTTACCCACCTGATGAGAGGGCATTTATTTACTTTTCACTACTAATTCTCAAATCAATGGGAGAGACGTACGTTTTGAAGAAAACATAATGATCATACTTCTCCCAATTCTTTTCCAACTCACTCAGTGAACAATTGGACAAATTATGTTTCCCTGCAGACCAAGTGAAACATGGACAAGTGCAAAAAACTAACACTCAACTGAAGTTTTAAAAGGTATACTGCCTTAAAAGGTATATTTATAGGGCTTTAAGAAAAAGTGCAAACAAAAGCCTGATATATCCCTAGGCCATTGCTATGTTCCCACCTATGATTAAGGTGGAGTTATGTCCCTTATACATCCCTCCAAGTCAAGGACTTTTAAAAGACTATTGGAAACTGACGAGCTTATGGACTGAAGAAATCACAAAAGAGAAGACTGCCACCATTTGTCTTGCTAATGAAAAGTCGGCGAGACTTTTGCTGAGCACTCAGTTCCACACCTAAATAGGCCACACCAGTTTCACTTCACAGGTGTCTTGCTCAGCCTGCCAGCTGCCAGAATGCCCCAGACACCCGTAACCTAGCACAATTGCCCAGGCCAGAAAGTTTCAGGGAAAAATCAGCAAAGAGTCTATGTGAGTCAGGAAAAGAGAGTAGAGCCTGCAGGAAACAATCTGAGGGAATTCAGGAGCATGCCAACAGCAGACACTGTGTGCTAGTAGTTCACATACCTAAACAAAAATGTCATGTCGTCTTTGCCATTCATTTACTTCTCAAACATTTACCCTTTGCTTTCCCAGAAAACAAACTTCCCAGCTCCACGGCCACACACAACCCCTGCGAAGAGCTGTACTCACCGAAGAGGGACAGGATCCCACAGAAGGTCCAGACAGTCAGAGACATGCCCACGCTGCCGGTGTTCTGGAGCACACCCTTCGGGGAAATGAAGATCCCCGCGCCAATGATGGTGCCAATGATGATGGAGACTCCCCTCAGCAGAGTGATTTTCTTCTTCAGCACCACTCTCTCCTGCCCTGATGGTGGCTGCCTGCCCCCCATGGAGGGCAGCCCCCCATGGACGTTTCCCTGCAGGTAACCTCCTTTGGAGATGGTGGCCACAGCAGGCTTTTTGACCATGGTCCTGTCACACGGGGGAAAAATAAAACAGGGAGGAAAAAAACATCAAAACTTTCAACTTGAGTGTCTCTTTGGTGTGACTGATTAGTCTCTCTTCCTCGCTGCTTTCAGAGTGTCTCAGCGCTACTGTGTTCACAGGGAGAAACTCAAAGGTGTATTTTAGCCTCCACAGCTCTCTAATTACGCCTCGGAAACACCTGTGCGTGCTTGGTGCGCTGGTTCCCACCTCCTTGTCCTGTCCCTGTGGCTGCTGCCGCAGCGACTGCTGCCCTATCATTACAAACCAGCTCAGCTTCCTCATGGACTCGTATTTAAACTCCTGCCTGTCACACCAACTTACTCCAGCTACATGATGATGCAAATTCTCCAGGTTTGCATCAGCCACATGAGAGGACTCCAGCATTACTCAGCACTTTTCCCCCTCCTTTTTTTTTTTTTAACAGTAGCAGCATGTTGCTCAACTGACCCCAGCCTTTCTGAGAACAAAGCAGCATACACTTAAAAGGGATCTTAACCAATCCTGAAGAGGGAAATTCGCAACAGACCTTCCTAGAGATTTAAAACAACTCCTAGTGAGGGACAAAAGCTCTTCAAGTGCAAAGAAAATCAAAAGGGAAACAGGAAATGATTATTTCTTTTTAAGGAGTTACTTTTTGATTTAACTCATGTATAAAAAATGTTTTATTCACAACTGTTTTGACAAGAGAAAGCAACTCAAAGCTGCATTGTTTATAACAACAAAATTTCCATTTCGTAATTTGTATCATGCTTATTCTTATATTTTTGTTTGAGTTTCCTAGCAACATAGTCAAATCTAAGATTTACAAAGCTAGACAGGTTTTACACTCCTGTGCTGCTGCTACATATATAACTGTAAATCTTGCTCAACTCTAAAAGATAAAATTATTTCTTATAACCCATAGTCAACCAGTATTTAAAATCATCAGCTAAGTGCGACAAATTTAAAAACCACAGTGACTCCAGAAAACAGTCATTTTGTGATTTTCACCAGCACTACATGGTTTCCTGAATGAAGCAGAAGATATATATTCTTCATTTGCATGTTCTTCCACACATAACCAAAAGTTCTAATTTCAAAATTAAGAATAATTATAATTACATAAAAGCATATGTGGTCCAAAAGCTTAAAAAAATTCACAGAAAAGTAGTCATAGAAGGTAATGATATTATGCATCACTTTTTTTCTGGATCCATGAGCTATTGTTATAATTATAAATTTTAAATGCACTAAAATCAATGGGTACTAAGTTACACTTAAATAGGATTAAGAAGTTCTGGTGTGCTATTGCACAATAAAGTGGCAGTAAATAACAATGATGTATTATACAATTCAAAATGCTGAAAAAAAGGGGTTTGAAATTTGTTACTAAGAAGAAATGTTAAGTGTTTGAGAAGGTAAGACATATTTAACCTGATTGAAACATTATGTAATATTGTATTGGAACATCACACTTACTGAGACATCACAGGATACCTCATTAATATGTACAATTTTATGTTTCTATGTATCAATGAAAAACAAATTTTAAGATTATAAAAAATAAAATGTGATCAAAATATAAGCTAAAATTAAACTATTTACCCTGAAATAGCTAAAAAGGCAAAACGTTTTAAACTTCTATCTTTCCCAAGTATCTAAAAATCAAATGCTAAGAGAAATCTTAATATCATTTTTGGCTGGGATTATGTATGGTTTTGAATTTAATGAGAACAGTTGGATGCTCTCATGATCCTGAAGCTCCATTTACACACATCATTAAATATGCTTCTGAACTTCTGACAAAAACAACAAAATACCTGTGTGAGAGGAAGGCCAGGGCAGGAGTGGGAGTGGACAAAGGGGGTATCAGGATGACTTCAGAAAGAACTGGCCATTAGAAAAGTATCATGGAAAATGGAAAACCCATTTTTCATTAGGTTGACACCTCTGGAACTATACTACTTCAGTGTTTAACCATCCAAATGACCAAAGTTGCATAATTTTCTTTTCACATTATCTACCTAAATTATACATAATTTATTTTAAATTTACCAAGTCGGAGCTTTTATAAACCCAAAGGTAATAATCTCAGTAGTGATGGCTTTCAAATAAAAAGGTGGGTGACATTTTCTTTATTCAATATTTTGGAATTCCTAAAAAATAAAATAAGCAAAATAAAGATTGTCCTCCTGCTCTCTACATGCCCTGCCACTCACACAATTCTTCTGATTAATGACCATAAGGGGGAGAGGAAAGGTTTTCGTTTCCACAAAAAGGTAACATATTTGTTCTGAAGAAATATGAGTTCAAAGTAGACTCCCTACATTTCCCAGGGAGCAATTTTCTGTCTCTCTCTACACAGTGCCACACTTCAATTTTAAATTTTGTTATAAATGACTAGACTAACAAGTTGAGACTAAGACCCCATTCAGACATGAAGTCAGCTAAATTCTAAAGAAGAAAAATGTTCTTTCAAAATTAACTAACACTTTCTTCCTTTGCAGTATCTAAAAAAAAAATCTGTAAAGAAAAAATTTCACATTAGACTAATGGTCAAAAAGATTATACTATCCTGTAAGGGTCACACTCAAAATGTCTGCAAAACTGTACAGCTACAAGGTACAAATACATCTCTTCTAATCACATAGAAATTTGCAAAAAATACAGGTTACAAAGAAAATATTGAGTTACCTTTAACATTAACAAGCACTTATAATCACCAGTCTTACACTTATAAACTAAGTATTTGGATACTTAGTCTACAAACATTTGTGTCATAAAAATGAATTTAAAACAAATGAATTTCTATTTCTCCTGCTTTTGGACTTACTATAAGTATTCCAGTCAAATTAAAAAGACTGTTCCCCAATATTTATTTACGGAATCCTTTACACAAGGTACAGTCCCAGTGCCCCAAATCGCATGGGTGAAATAAGATATATTGTGATACTTATCATTTGATAGAAACAATTTCCATCTGACAATTATAAATATGGGCATATAATCCAGGCCTTGAAAAAATTATCATCTCTCTGGCTGCATTCTTATTGAAATGTAACACAACCTGGGATATTTCTGAATGGAACTAGAATTATCTCTTCTTATCTGTTAGAAATTGTAAAGATGTGATCCCAGAACAACTGGAGCCCTGTTCCTGGCCATGTTTGCCACAATCCTCATGAAACGAAAAGAATACTCAGAGAGGAGGGATATTTACAAAGTCCTAGTGATCAAGCCCTATTTTAGTTCCCAGGAGATGCAGATTGGCCATGGATCTTGAAAATCTCCCTTTAACTCTATAAACTATCTAGTTTCTGTGCCTCATAGTACACCCAACTTCCCCTGGATGGTAGAGCTGGATGTGAATGGGCCATCATTAAAACTTCTAGAACCAGGTTGCTCCACATGATACCCATTAGCCACATATGGTTACCAGCATTTGAAATGTGGCTAGAATTTGACACTCTGTGAAATAACTACCTAAGAATGGGATTTTTCAAAACCCCACTGGCTCATGGGATTTCTCACTGTGCTATGTGTCTTGCCAAGCATGGAGCCAGATGTAGTTCAAGAAAACTCAAAGGCCACCAGGTCTTTTTCGTGAATAAAGCCCCTTAGGGCTAACAAAACTGACATGTTTATAGCCATCCTGGGTACATGAAAATTCTGCTGGCAAACTGATTCACCATTTACTAGCTTTGTGTACTATTATAAAGGCAGAAGCACACTAGCATGTTGTGCTTGGCTTTACGGATGGCTTTCTCACCATGATATTAAACAGACAGTGTGCATAGTAGATAATAAATGCATCTTCTGCAGATTTACAAGAAATATGTTCAATTACATTCTAAAGTATTAAAAGCACAAAGAAAACACTAAGCAAGCATTTATAGTAATACTAGGACTTCTATAATAATTGTTTTGACTGTTGCCTTTTGCTCATTAGCACAAACTTTCTGCTTTGTAATTATTGTATTGCTTTGTATTTCGTGGTTTTAAGACTCATGACTTCAGAGTCAAGTACTTATACAAGTATTGCAATCACCTTTCTCTTATTGTACAGACAATGTAATAACGTACAGTTTTGATGCTTAACAATATTCCTTTTTTTAATAGAGGCTATTTATTTTAATTTTTAAAAGAATGAAACTTTTTCATGAAAATTTGGTAGATCTTATCTGTAAAACACATGGGACCTACTTTTGATTCATTTTGAGTCAAGGGTATTATTGATATCCTTTTCTTAGAGAAGTCATTTCAAAAAATGACAGTAAAAGGGAAACTCATTTTGGGGAATCTAGCGCAGAAATAGGCAATAAATATTTTAGGCTTTCTGGTCACATTTTCCAACTCACTGTCTATTAGTATCTTGACTACAATTGGAGTAAAGTAATGCAAAGCTAATTGATCAATGACTTATGCCAGGGATTTTTGCAAATAAAGTTTTATTAGAACACAGCCATGTCCACTTATTCATTTATTTTCTATGCTGATTTTACAATACAACATCAGTATTCAGTAGTTACAAGAGAGACTGAATGTCCAAAAGGTGGACAATATTTACTACTTGTCTTTTCAAAGAAAAAGTTTCCTGACTCAAACTGGAGAGAATATGTAGGAACTGACAACACATTTCCATTTTGGATTTCTCTCTTAGTAACACTCTCCTTTCTTGCTCAATTGCTCATGATTCCTGCAAGATAAGCATGAGTGAGCCCACTGCGGACTGGCAGGTCTGCACACACCCTACCGAGGTCAGGAGTTGCAGAGAGTCAGCCCACTGAGGACAGGCAGATCTGCGAACGCCCTGCCAAGGTCCCGAGTTGCTCAGGGAACACCGAATCAGCCCGCTGCAGACAGGCAGGTCTGCGCACGCCCTACGGAGGTCCCGAATTGCATGGAACACACCTAATCAGCCCTCTGCAGATGGGCGGGTCTGCGCATGTCCTAACAAGGTCCCCAG